GAGAGCTAGGTCCGTCTTTCTTCTCGCCCCCCTCGCTCAAAGCGATGCTAATTTAATTGCATTCGCAGCGACCCCGCAATAACAGAAGTCTTCTCGCGCGGGCAGAACCCGCAGCACTGGCACGTCGCGCGCCGCAACCTGCAGGGTTCCTCTGGTGACAGCAACGGCAGTGGCGCGAAGAAGGAGGACGGGGAAGAGGTGTACATGGAGGTGTTCCGCAAGGAGGCGAGCCTGACGGACGTGGATAATGCGCTGGCGGGGGTGATAAGGAAGAGCAGGATGGCGATGGAGCCTCCGCAGGTTGACGTGTAGACGGCGTCGAGTGCTTGAGCTTAGACCGTATATGTGTACTTGGCTGCCGTTTCTTTTCTCCCGTTACAGAACACGTATACCACCTTAATGTACCGCCCTGTCCTACATACTCCGATATACGGTGTACTCGATGCTCGTCATGGCCTTTGCATAGACGATATAGGGATAGCAATGACCAGCAATTCTAAATGATTCGGTAGGGCTGGAGGTCTTTCGAGAAATAGTAGTCTCATTGTGAGCTGCAGGTCGACCGCTGTCTCGGCGGCAGAAACCTCATTACTGGGCCATTTCATATGGCTCAGCCATGGTTGGGGTTGAACATGGGGTCCAAAACGAGAACCGAGTCTGAAGATTTGTTCGAAGCTTTTAAATCTCCACTCTCGCTCCAGAAAGCGCCCACTGCATATCGTGCGATGTGGACACCCGCAGTCCACTAAGCCTTTTATATCTCATCTTCGCACTGCTCCTGAGTATTGCTCTCTCAATAATACCTAGTACCAGGTCAGACTTTTCGGTCGCCGATGCCAAAAGACCTGGACGGACCGAGGTTGAACGTTGAAATCCGTTCAACGACGGTAAATTGGTGGTTACCCATTCAATCTGGTCCGCTGGTTCTGATTTACGCTGAGGGCCTTGCTTACCACCATAAATCTCGGTCTTGTTGCGAGTTCTCTTTTAACCACTCAAGCAGTTCAAAACGACTATTGATATTCCCTTCGTCGGTTTAGCTCAGATATCTCCTTCCGCCCTTCCTTCGAAACGGTGTTGACACCGTCGGTGACGCCAAAACACTGTAGAAAAAAAAAGGGAATTTAAGATCAAGACCACGGGGGAAGTTCGAAGGTTCCCTCCCACCTTAATAACTCAAAGCCCCGCCGCAGTGCTGGCAGCTCGGCCCCCTATGCAGCCGACACAGTCAGTACTTGTGGAGGTCGCCACTAATGTGCAAGGCAGCCGGACTCAGTTTATTTAGTCTCAAGGCTCTGAAGAACGCGACTTGCCCATCGTTTCGGTCGGGAGGGGCTTGAGCAGCGTGGTACTGGCGGCGCGACCCCCCATGCAGCCGATGCAGTCGGTACTAGTGGAGGTTACTGCTATTGAAACGCAACCAGATTCGGTTTAATTTAGGGCTCATGGACTGGCGAAGAGAGCATACCCGTGGGCGTGACAGCTGGCACGGCGGCCGCGAGAGAGAGGCCGACAAGGACGACGGCGCGGAGGGCTGCGGGGGCCATCGTGGTGGGTGTTGGGAACTTTATGGGAAGTGGGCGAAAAACTTGAAGCAATGCGTTGCGTGCGGCGCTAGCTTGAAGGCGTTCAGCCAGAGGGACCCAGAATATATAGTTTTCGAGCTGCGGAGGCCGAAAAGTTGAAGTACCCAAGAGCCAAATAGGCTTCCCGACGAGCCCGACAAATGAATTGGCACAAAGTATGGGCGGCTTCGCTGAACTCCGCGAGGATAAGAGCACCATCTGAACGCCATAGAATCTATCCACATTTCCTATAAAAGTGTTCGCATTCCATATAGAAGCGGAGATGTTCGGTCAGCCCGGCGGAGTTGTACTTAGAGCGGTTCTGGATAAGGATTATACACCTTGCCCTCTGTTCAATCAAGGCGGTCACCTGTCCATGGAGTATGAATTTGAATACGCACTCCAATGCTTTGGGCCTTGTGCGTGTCATTTGTTTCAAGCATGCTTGTTTCCGTTGGCATTCTGGATCGAACAAGCGTCCACAATTTTCAGTGGCGGCACAGATGAGTTGAGATTGGGATTCGGACATGGTGGGGTCGCCCAAAGCTTGGTGGGTTGTCCGGCATCGAGTACGTCTTAGCTCGAGTTGGCGTTGAGGGCTGCTAAGCAAAGGATAATATTCAGGATATCATTCCGGAGCACATCCCTATTGTGTGCTCTATGCAGAGCAATTGCAAGTCAGAGATGGGCGTTTCCTGGCTGTCAGTGGGCCTCGGTCTGTGCATCCCCAGTCGGTGAATTCCTCCACCAAGTGCTGCGCGGGTGCCAAGGTGCCCAATTGCATCCAACGACCCACAAGATCTCCACTTGTACCTACAACTCGACAGTCTCCTTCGCCTTGAACTTCCGCCCCGCCCGATCCGCCGACCTAAAACAGAATTGGTTCCCGTGCAGCTCGAGCCGCACATGCGCGGCGTCGAGCACGGTTTTCAGGCTTTCGTTGGGCTCCGGGATTTGTAGTGGCGGCGGCGCGTTCGAATCTGGCGTGGAATGAGGAGGGAGCGTCGAGTACGCCGGGACGGCAAACGTAAATATTGAGTTTTGCTTCGGCAGGACTAGGTCATTCCGTTCGTGAGCGTTATATCACTCTCAAAGATAAGCTATGGAACGGCGAACCCTTGAGCTTATTCTCCTTTGTCACGACCTTGAACGTCCCCTCCGTCTCGTGGATAACGATACCCGAGATCCCGAGGATGGCAGTGTTTTTGCTCTGGTGCACTGGACTGGTTGAGGAACGGTTCAAATTTAATTAGTAGACGGGAATACCAGTCATGATAGACCCGTGGAAATCCGCCTTGAGGAGCTTGGGGTGTATCGACGCGCCTTGCAGCACGCGTGGCGGGCCTGATCCCGGCTGCGGCAAATTCAGCAGCTCGGACATATATCCCATCCATAGATGATGCAGGGGGAGAAACAGCGCGAATCTGACGTCGGATCAGCTGTGCACGCCGCATTTCACGACGCGTTGTACTTTGCCTGACTCTCGTCAAAGCCCCACAGGCCAAGTTCCCGCGCAGTTCCCTGTCGCCTTCCCAGCACACCAAGCTTCTTGCGCTCCTTCGCTTCGCGCACCTTAGCCTTTTTCGCATTGCGCTCTTTCCTCTCGCGGCTCTCCTTGGCGGCATTATCGAGCAGGAGCATGCGCCCCTTGACGCGATTCGCATAGATTTCGGCGGGGTTGGACGCCTGAGTAGCGACCGATTTGACATACTGCGGTGTGAATGGGTCCGCAGCAGTGAGTTTCAGCTTCTTCGCCGCAGGTAGCTGGTGATAAAAGTCGATTGTCGGTGTTGCGTCCATCAAGTTGAGGTCCCATCAATTTTCGCAGGGTCGGAGCCCGTCGGCCGAGTACGGCTTGAGCGACAACCAAAAATCTGACCGCCCGCTTTTGGCCTCTCAATAACCGGGTTTCGACTTGGCTTGTGAGCTAGTTTTGCCTGTCCGTAAATCGTACTTATTCCGAATCCCAGATGCCCACGTTTTCTGCTCGATGCTCTGAATGTGGTGCTCTTTCCACTGGCCCACCGAATGGACAAGGATTCGGTGCATTTGTTTCGCCTGGCATATGATGCGATGGGCCCATGAATAGCAATGATGCACCAGAGGAATCGGAATCGGCAGTAATCCAGTCCGCCGTATCGAACACCGATGCTTCGTTGGTATATTTGGACGATGAAACTCTGGGACAAACTAGAACGATTAGAGGAAGAACGCCCGGTATTGCTCAGCTATCAGATGCGAAATGCGACCATTCTCTCGGCTCGGAGGACGCCACCAGAAGTGCTTCGCGAAATCTTTCTGTTGACCCTGCCTTACACGTCCTATCTAGGCAGAGTCGACACGGAACAAAGCCCCTGGGTGCTGATCTGAATTTGCGGCCATTAGCGACTGCAATCTCGCTGTGGTCCCGGGTTGGTACTGTCGGGGAGTCGACGTGTTCATTATCCCTGGTGGAGGCACAGCTCCAACGCTCCCAGAGATTCAAAATCCATTTTTATGGAAAGCCTGAAACTCCCTCCCTCCCACCCTCAAGTCGAAATATTCCGACTTCTATCGCAACACTCGTCACGCGGGGAGGAGCTCAGTATTGGATAGATTTTTTAAACAGCTTCTTCGTCCGTATCTACAACGAATATCGCTTTATACCGACTCCGCTTCCGGCGCAGCAGCTTACCTGTTGTCAATTGAATTGCGTATGGGAGGAGCATTGGCGCATACTTATTGGTGAAGGCAACAAACCTTGTTGAAGCGCACATTTAATACTTGACTTTTGACGAAAAACCTGGCCAGATTTTGTTGCGCCAATTGAATTATTGAACTTGCGAAGCCTGTACGTCTCAGATTCAGGAGTCTTGAGGTACCTCGGGTTCCCTACTCTGGAGGAACTCGCCATCCTGGAAGGCCCAGCCAGTGCAGACATTCTCCCCGCTTTCCAATTTCTTCTCGCCTGGTCCTCGTGCCGCACTTGAAGCAGCTGGTCTGTTCCCGATAGGTGGGCTAAAACAGCAGCAGGAGACGAGGCACGCGAGGAAATGTCTAGTTGGGAGTTCCGAACATCGTGGAAGTGATTTCACCTGCCCCCCGTGGAGAGCATCTTGCCTTTGGTTTTGTTCCATTGGATTCTGCATCCGATGGTTCTACCTCTGCTCTAGGAGTTCCTTACGGGTCAGAACCACAGGACTGGAAAAAAAACCATTCCGATACTCATTGATGATGATTGACACAAGTTGAAACTACCGGTATCTTGGAAAATAAACCGGCCCTGAAAGTAAAAAAAATACCGCCTCGGGAATCATTGAACCAGCAAGAAGAATGGCCCAAAAAATAGACCACAGCATTGCAGAAGGCTACTGCGTAAGTTGTGATTTTGACGCGGACGCCCACCTGGGATGGACCAAGTGGTATAGAGCCGAAGCCCGAGCCCGGAACCCTTTGAGCCACCAAGGGGATTCGAACCCCCGACCTCCCGCTTCCAATTATTTTGGGAAACGGTCAGTTCAGCCATTGAACTAAGTGGACACAAAGGCTGCAGTCAATTCGGCGGACATGTGGGACAGAGCCAAGCGGGTAATGTTAAGACAATCAATCGTCACATACGTACCACTTCATGAAAACTTTGGGTGTTTTTAATTTCCAGACTCCACTATGCGCTGCAGCTCTGAATCGCGACCGCTGACTTGGCTGACTTCCTATCTGGTATCATTCCCTTTAGGGTAATCACAAACCCTTTTAGCAGTGATCTGCAGATCCGCAAACGATCTGCGCCATATGTACGTCAATAACTGTCAGTGGCGGTGCAATCAACAAACTTGAGAACAGACCCTCACAAGACCTTCTCTGCACACACCACCTCTCGCTGCAACCCGCCTGGCACGAAAGTCATGCCGCACCTCAACGTCGTTATGAATAAAGCAGTGGCAGCAAAAATTGCGGATACCGGTTACAGGCTTTGCTTACCATTCCAGTCGGACGACTGGCCAAGATGCTTTCGAAAAACACACAGCGAGCACATCAAATGCGCTTTACTCGAATTCTTTCATCAAGTTGGGATCTCCGCTTTCAGCCACGCAATCTTCCTTCTTTTGCTGCCGGAACTCCGTGAAAAACCAACCGGCTATTCGCAGGTGAGGAGTCGGTCCAGTCCATCTGACCACCCGCTTACATGCCGCTAGGCGATTCAAGGATGCATTACATCTCACAAGACCCTCCAGCTCGTCGTGGAAAAAATTGACCCCCGCCTCGTCAGCGGCATCAAAAGAGTAGATGGCGGTTTCCTTGCCTTTGTCGGGATGACTTGGATAACGACGGCGGGGGATACGAGAGGGTTGTTAAACTGGCTGGGCCCTATCTTTGATCCGATATTGCACGTCGCTGGCGAGGCTTACATGAACGAGCAGTGAGTGTCCTCACATCGTCCGCCGGCTGGGCAAGAGACGCTGAAACCCTGTCAGTAACAGTCGAAAAGTTGCCAAAACTCAAACCGCCAAACCCTCTTCAGGCATGGCACTCGAATTCTTGTGCAGGACATAATTGACGCGTTCACTCGCGCAGATCTTTTATTTCTCATGAAACTCTACGAAGTGCAGAAAGGAGCGGCTCCGCCTTCAGCAAGTACAGTTTGACAACGCTCTATTCCATCTCACCAGCTCCTGTCAAAGACGCCGCCCCCACCGTCCATCGCGTCCTCTCCGATATCAAGCCCAGAAAACGACCGCCGTATGTCTGTATCACCACCATTCAGGCTTGAAACGGTAGTACGTTCTTCCCTTGACTATTTAGCGGAATCCAACTGATTCACAACCAAATAGGAGGACGATCCGTCAAAACATTTTGTATGCGCCTTCGTTCACTCCCTTCGCACCAGATTGACTCTCATTATCATTCAGGTCCCGGCAGTCTCCCCCACCACGTTCGACTTGGTGCTGGACATCGTTCCTGACGGCGCAGTGTTGAGCGACACGTACGAGTTATTTCTAAAAGCGGAAGAGAAGGTGCGATTTTAATTGTGTGCGGTTCATAAAAAAACATATATTCAATAGAAAAACCGCATTACATTGGCCTCGGCGTCTTATCCCCTTGATCCTCAAAGCACCGAAGAAGGGATGCGTTACCCTCTGGAGGATTTTCTCGTAACTTGAATCCTGCAGATGAACTTCATAGTGATCTGACCAAGTTGCAGAACCTCTCTCCGGAGGGCGTCCAGTCGCTCAATAGTCCAGCTCTTTCTCCACTAAAGTTTAGACTGACATCAGGGTTTGCGATGCTAGCAAATTTAGCGCAGCACGCGGCGGTGCGCACTATTCTCTTGTCGAACTACATGCACTTACTCGAAACCTTTAATAGCCGGAAAACAGAGAGAATCTCGTACCAATGTTGGAGCATTTTGGGTCCTTGGAGCCAGCCTTTGTCGTAAGTTTTCAGACTATTATTGCTACAGCCTTCTGATGGGAACAGCATGAGCCCGATCGCCCCAAACGCACGAACGTCGTGGTAAGATTCTGTCTATAGCCATTCGAAAACCCGCTTACCCTTGCTTTCCTTCATTCAGGCCTCGAGATCTGGTGCAAAAGCGGCGAGGTCGACGTCCGGACGGAGTCCGCTCACCCCCAACAACCGAATGGAATGAGGAATAACTCTTAGTGTCCTGCGCTATCTGTTTGTTTCTACTAGGTATATTTTCCAATTTAGGGCGGGAACGAGCTCAAGTTAGGATTATTCTTTTCGGGGAAATACTTACAATTGGATTGGAACGGATGCAGTCGACGGCGCATCATCCAATCGGTGCATCACGCAAATCTCGCAGATCACGTAGATCGTCATTATCACATGAAACTCAAATAATCAACCACAGTTCAACTTGGACGCAACCTGGCTCCACTTGAAAAAGTCCCATGAAATTGTCTAAATCATTCAAGATTCCAGTCCCGTGTACTTGTTTTTACCAATACCAGGCTTCAGAGCCTTGCTAATATATATATGGACTAGTCAAATGACCGAGTCGACAGCGTATGTTATCTAGGTATCCCGCGTCCCACGGGGCGTAATCAGTGAAGGAAACGGGGAGCGTGCATCATAACGTTAGAGTATCAGCCAGCCGCCAAGAGCGAGCGCAGCGACACTAAAGGGAAGGCTCAGCACGAGGGTGCGGGGGGCGCCGCTTGAGCCAGTGGTGGCGTTGCTCCCCTGCGACACCTTGTTGCTGCCGCTGGAGGCCGAGGAATTGGAAGATGATGATGAGCTGCCGCTGCTGCTGTTACCGGCCATTGACGCCGGGGGGGACGGGAACGGGAACGTCTTGTTCGTATTCGACTCGAGGTAGAGGTTCGCTGTCGGAATCTTGGAGCACTTGCCAATTGCCTCGAGCTGCGGTGCAAGAAGTTAGCTCAATATTGAAAATATGCGCGTAAGGGGCGTACCGTAAATGGGGGGTTGTGGGAGAGTGCGGCATTGAGGGTATACCCGACGGCGAGGTCGACGGTGATTTCATATAGATCGTGCTCCAGGACGCAGAACCTAAAGGGCAGAGTGTGAGTCAGCCTGGCGGCAAGAGTGGAAGCACATGCCCGGTGTCCAGCGTTGACGCATTGCCAAGAATATTCTCGAATTCCGCAAACGAGTCAACACCAGGGACGGTGCCTCCCGCGACCATCCAGTCGAATGTGTCGAATGAGTAACCGTCGCTTGTACGGGTCCAAATAACGGGAACCATGCCCATGGCGAGGGCAATCATGCGCACACGATCATCTGCAGTATTGATTTATTAGCTGGCCGTCGAAGGGAGGGAAAATGAAGGACCTATGTCTCCGTACGGAGGACGCATTGTCGTAGGGGTGACGCCAAGGACAGCCTGAATCGCTTTGCGCGTCCATCCAAGTTCGGCCACAACTTGTGCGTTGGTAAGGGAGGTCAGGTGCTATGCGAGCGTGGGTTAGATGCCAAGAAAACAGTGCCGAGCTTTTTAGCACGAACAGGATGAGACCAGGTGTGGACACTGATCTCGTGCCCTGCCATGTATTCATTGATGAGGATATCGGGATACTCGATGACCCGCGAGCCGACGACGAAAAACGTTGCGGAAATCTGCTTGAGCTGGAGGTAACTTAACAAATTGCTGAACCGATGTCAATATGAGCGAGATCAGGCCAGGCTCGGCAAGAGTACATACGGGGCTACGGAGATGTAAGCGGGAAGATCATCAAGGGCTGGTGGACAGACGTACTGTAGGGAGCAGGACCATCGTCGAAGCTGTCAGAAAAAAACAATGAGCCCTAACGGCTCTCGATCACGACTACACCGGCCTACCTAACGCCCCAGGTCCCTTTGTCCGGGCAGGCAACAATGTCGGTTTCCCGAGTGTACCCACCGCATGTCCACCAGCCGCGGTTTGCAGCATCGGCGGCAGCCGCTAAGCGAAAGGGCCGTTACTTAGCGTCTTACGAAACGTTTGCTTGGCAGAAAGAAAAAAACGCACCTGTATCGTTGACGCAGCTACCGTCCACAGTAGGTTCAATGTCGGGGATGTTGAAACCGTCGAGTTCCTTCATCCATTCCTGCACTTGTTCAGACGCTGAGTGAAGTTAGCTTAGTTGAATTTTTTCAAATAAAAGTTGCTTGCGTACTGGCATCGATAGGCTTGTCCATTTCAGGCCATTGCCCTGGAGCAAAGGCCCCTGCAAAAAATAGTGAGGCTGTATTCACCACCGAAGCCAAGGGATACTTACAAGCGGGTGAGGGGAGCGCAGGAGCCCCAGAAAAGGGCGGAGTAGCTCCAGGAGTGGCCGTAACAGTAGCAGCCGGCGTAGGAGCGGTGGGCATCCCGAATGTAATGCTAGCAAGTGGAGGAATAGTTACACCGGCGACGACGGTGCCTGCTGGCGCAGCGGTGCCAGCTGACGCTGCAGCGGTGCCTGGTGCTGACACCGCAGAGGTGCCTGCTGACGCCGCAGCGCTCTGGCGCTTGGCAACTTGAGCATGGCGAGGACTTTCGTGGGCGATAGCCAGGCCGAAGAGAGAGAAAAGAATGGTGAGAGCCTGGGGCTTCATGGTAAATGAGTGGAGGGTAGGCGCTAGGCGCGGATGGTGGGAGTTAAAGAGAAGAGCGAATACGCGAAGGGAACCAAGCAAACGTAAACGTCCCAAGAGCTTCATTCCGATCCACCGGCGTCGCGACCAGGCTTGGCATTAATTTTTATATTGCTGGTCACTGAGAGTTCTTGGGGCCAAGGAGAGCTCATCCTTGTCCTTCAGTTTTGTGTTTCAAAATTTATTCAACCACATCATTGCGAGCTTTACTCATTAATCCGAGGAGACGTCGTCTGGTGTGCCCTCACGACCCCAAAAATGAAGTTAGAAGCAACACTTACTCCACAATCAGCACTCGAAAGGTACCCAGAAGGCCCGATTCCTGACGGCAATTCTTCGATAGGATGAAAATTTTCGGATGGAAGGCCGCCGTTTTGTGACGGCATTGCTTAGACGAAGGTTCGCACGATGGCCGATGAACAACATATTTACCGAA